GTTGACCTCCAGAGGTGGGGAGCCCCACAGAAATGGAGCAGTCCTGGCGAAGGCTCTCCTCCCCTTGGGCCATGGGTGCATGAGGAACCTTCAGGAGAATGTCCTCAGTGACCTCAGTGACCGGGCAGGTTGGTACAGGAAAGGCAGCCTCTCCTGGTACTTACTAAACTTGTCCTAAGTCATTCATGGATCTGTACGTTCATATCAACTCACAAAACCTGGCCCAGTGACAAATGGGTACCAGTGTGGTTCTTTCCGCAAAGGAGCTGCATTCTGGGAAAGGGTAGCTCCTAACAATGCATTGCTGCTTTTGGCACTAGCTCCAGCCAGCCCCAGACCAACCTGAAGGGCAGTCCCATATAGGGCACGCTAGTCATCCCATCTGGAGGCTAGCAGCATGCTGCATACATCTGCAAACCTCAGGGCCGCCCCAAGTTCAATATTACCTGGGCAGGGGTGGTGCCATTTTGACTAGCTAAGTTTCAGGCCCTGGACATGCTACTGAGCAGCAATTCAGGAGGCGGAGGCAACAGTGGAGGGTCCCCTTGTCTGCAGGGTCCCCGGAAGCACCTGGTTGGCCACTATGCTAAGGAGAATTCCAAACAGCTGGGCTTTCAGCCTGATCCATCCTATTCTTCTCTTCCTGTGTTATATGTCAAGCTTTCCCCAAATATGCTGAACCACCATTCCCGTTATCCCCAGCCAGCTTTCCCAATTGCCATGATGCTTGAGAGAAGCTGAAGTCGTGGTCCAATAAATCCAGAAGATGCTAGGTCAGGAAAACGGACACCGCATTCCCTTGCATACTGTGCATGCAGCACAGCGCTGGAAAGGTTTGAAGGTATCGAGAGATGCATTCTCACATGTGAACAACAAGTGACGATTTGCCTACAGTTTCTTTTCTTTTTTGCTTTCCAGAATGATAGGCAATTTGTTCCTAATACATTATAGCAGATCAGAACATGAAATGTTTATTCAAGCGTTGGTTGTACCATCCCCCCCTTTTTGCAACTTAATGATATGCATAAGTTAATTGCAGCAGCAAAAAGCTTCCGACTACCATGTCTGAACAATCCATTAAGGCTGCATTAAAGCATCGTGAATGGGAGGTTTAATGACTTAAGCTTTTCACAATTAATTTTTAAATGCATTGCTTCTCTTCGGTTTTAATGCAAAAGTCTCTTTTAATAACTAGGCACAGGCTTAAGCTCCTTTTAGCATCTTCTTTATTGATTGTGGAAATACATAAGAAATTCATCTCTCCCTCTCCACCCCCACAATCTATTTTCCTTGACTGCTTATTACTAGGATTACCCTTGGCTTTACTTTTTCATGGACATCTGTTCCAATCTAGTGAAGCAGTTCCCTCATGCAAATGAACTGTGCACCGTGTGCTTGACAGGTAACCGCAGCGTAAATGCAATAAATTTACACATGTGCATTAGAGTGTGCCCCTGAATATTACATCACAGACCCCACAATTATACCCATGCACAGGGCTGGAAAACTTTCCAGATGCTGGACCACAACTCCCATTGCTCCAACCATTATCCCTGCTGGCTAGGAGTGGCGGGAGCTGGCGTACAATGGCATCTGGTTCCCCAGCCCTGCAGAACTCAGGGTTACCCATGAGCAGATGCCTTCTTACAGAACCGACCCACGTTCCCTCCAGTTGCTCCAACACAGGGGTGCAGAGCATGTGACCCTCCAGATACGGATGGCCTGTGAGCCACCTTAGCCAACGGTGTGGGATGCCAGGAGCGGCAGACCAACAAAATCCAGAGGGCCACCCCTGCTTAAGCCAGGCTTTGGCCACAAACAGTACACATGTCCGGGCAGGCAGGGCTGGGAGATTCAGGGTCCTGCCATTACTCTGCCATGACCCTGCACAAGAGCAGATGCCGAAGCATCTGTGCCATCGCGGTAAGAATCAAGCACGTGTGGCCAGCCAGGAACCACTCCGTTCGGGTGGGCCTACTCACGATGGAGGCCTCTGTGCGTGGGTCTCTGCATGGATGCAAACATGGGACTGGATGGTCCCCAGGGACACGCACGGCTGGAAGACACATGCCACAAACTACACTAGGAATGAGCTGTTCCTGAATGCTTGTTAATGGGAGTCAGGGAGTACAAAAGGCCCTTAGGGGAGCGACTGCTGCTCCATAGGGCCATTGATGTCAGTTGTTTGTATCAAGCACACCATCTTACTGCAACTGTTTTGGCCGGTCAAACTGTGTTTACATTATGCAGGTCAAATATTTCATTTCAGGTTTTTATTATCTTGCATTTGCCATTTTGTTAACTGTCCAGAGAGCTTTGGCTATTGGGTGGTCCATGAAATGAATGTACACAGAGTCCAAGGTCCAGCTCCCAGCATACCTGGTCAAAAGGATCCTATAATGGCAAAGATCTCTAACTCAGAATGAATCATACTGGATCGTAAGGACAAATATGTCCTGGTATAGCTGCTTCCTGGTATAGCTGTTTCCTCTGCTGTGCCTTTTGGTAACTGGAATATGCTTCCCAATTAATGTGTCTCCTTGCCAGTCAATCAGAGACACAGGAAATACATAAACCAATTCAGCTTAAAATTGGCCTCTCTTCTCATTGTCTTTTCATTTCCTAGTGCTGCTCCACCTCCCCGCTTTTTAAAACTCAAATACATTCAGGCACAGTGTTTTACATTTCACAGAGGCTGGGAGGAAGTGATTGTGTGTCATGGGATTCATAGGAGGGCCCAAGTTCTGCAAGATGAACATGTGTGTTATTTTCCTTTAAAATGCTTCATAATCATACAGCTACCCCTGAGAAATAATCAGACACAGTCGGAAAACTGGGAGGGAGGGAGGGGAGTTGCTGCCCCCACAACTTTCCCAAGGGTGCCCCAAAGCAGACATCGGTTTCCCTCTATTGAGCTAGGATGCTCAGAAGCCAAACAGTTAGGAAGATATAATCACAGGATCCATCCTGCTTCACCTCAGTCAGTTCCACAAAGGTTGGGGTCAAAAGAGAAAAGCTCTCACCTAGAAATACACGGTCTTACTTTTCCACATTCTTGTGCAGGGGTGGAGAACCTGGAGTCTTCCAGAAGTAGTGGCACTACAACTCCCTTCCTCCCTGACCATTGGTCATGCTGGGCTGGAGCTGGAGCACAACAGCACCTGAGGGGCTGCAGGCTCCCCATGCCTGCTCTTGTGTATAGAGACACGTGTGTGGGTGCCGCCCTGTTCATATGCCACTGTTGGGATCCTGTGGGCAACTGGATTGGGCCCTGTGGGCCCTGTGTCCACGATGCTGGACTGGATGGACCCTTGCTCCAACCCAACATGGCTCTTCTTACCATCAGAGACAAGACACAGGAGATTCCACCTCGAATGCACCAAACGGAATATGAGTGCAGCTCATTTCCATCTTGGGTTCCACATGGGAACCACCTGTGTGCTGTGCTTCTTTTAAGCACAGTACAGCAAAAGTCTCCTTGCAGATCCTGCAGAGGAAGTCACAGAGTGCAGACCTCTCAAGATGACATCACAGCACAATATACTTCATGCTTAAAGAGCCCTTGGGGAACCATGAGTGGTCTTTATGGCCTCCCACTGAACGGAGACATTTTATGATATCCATTCATATGATTGGTGGTAGCCAATATATTACTGGAATAATATCCTGCTTCTGGCTCTTCACTGCACATTGGACTGAAGCTTGGGACTTAGCAGAGTAGGAAGCAAAATCCATTCAACACCAGCCACCATACCCCCATCTTCCTCCTGCCATCCCAGCTGTACTAAAGGCACACCACCATGACAAAAGGTCAACCAACAATACTTTCCAAACTGATTTCAGGCCATGCGCACAGAAATAGAAATAAAGGAATGGGAACAGGCCCCCGAATGGCCCAGCGTCCATTCTAAATGACAGGCTTGGGCCAACTCCAGCTCCATGTAACCCATTACCACCAACTGCTAAGAGTCTTGAAAGAAGACATGCCTCCCGGACAGCATCAAAGCATGTGTCCAGTGTTAGTTCCATAAGGATAAGCAGCTTCATTAGCTACGTACAAGGAAATCTGAGCCAGTGCCTGGCTTCTTCTTGCTGGCTTGGGGCAACTGGGTAACGTTGCCAACCATTTTCCTCTGAGCCAGCTGCTTTTCTCACCAATTGCTTGCATTTTGTTGCACAGCTTCCAGCAGAATAATCATTTTGGGTGGGAGAGAGTGCACATCTGCCCGCGGACACAACATATACAAGAGACCGCATCAGTTAGAGAGGAAGCTCCCTCAGTTTTCTGCTCATCCTTGAATCTGTCTACACATACAGTTTGCCACACATTTCTCTGTTGTATATGTCATTTTGCAAAGGCCTGAGACCAAGTCAACAAACAGTGCTGCTGCATTATGTATGGGCGTTTGCTAAACTGTTGATTCCCCAAAGTTAGTTCCTGGAAGGAATGTCTTTCTTCTGATGCAAACTTATTACATTCACTGGGAGGCCTACCAGTATCCAGTGCAAGACACGACATGCAGTGGCAGCTTTCTCCACCCCTCACATTCTATTTCCGGTCATCTAGATTTAGTCCCATGGAGGGGGCAGAAAGGAAGCTTGTGGGGGCTGAGCTCAGCATAACTCTGCAGCCCTAGCCTCTCTCCTTCCCCAAACCTGGACGCCCCTTTTCCCTCCCCCAAGACTAAGCGTGACCTGTGGTGGTTAGTCAGCATGGTTCTTTCTGCATCAGCTGCAAAGCGGTTGGACAGGAGCTTAGCCTTTGGAGTTTGAGCAGCAAAGCCAGAAGACCTGAGCGCTCAAACTCTGAAGAATTTGGTGGTTTGGAAGCTATACAATATGAGATACAATTACAATTAAGGTAATGCTTTTCATTAGCGAGTAAAAAATTGCAGAAAAAGTCATTGGACTGGAACAGCTTAACCTGCACCCGTGCCTTCATAGCCAATTTATCTATTCATCAATTTGTGGCATGCTACTTTCATTCTTTAGCCACCTACCTGGTAACTTGCGTCCGAGTGCCAAAATCCAGAGACCTCATTGACTGCAACACTTCAATACAGCCCATATACTAAAGTAAATATTGAGAGAAAAGAAATCACAGCTGTTTAAAAGTTATCTAGAAAAACAAAGAGAAAGAGGTTTATCAGAGGTTATCAAACAGAGGTTTATACATCAAAGTATATATGCAGAATATATTCCTTAATTTAAAGTAATAACACAGAAACATAGAACTCATTCCAGAATCTCCTTGTTCTAAGAGACATGTCAAATGCTTTTTCAAAAATTACATTCTGGCACAGGGGCCAGAGTGGAAATTCCACACACTAAAGACATACAGAGTGCCACTGCAGAGCAGTGGTTAAGAGATGTGGGCTTAGATCAAGACACTGGGGTTCAATTCTGTACTCACCCATGCAGTTCACTGGATGAACTGAGGTACACTAATCCTATGCATGTTTAGACGAAAAAAACAGGACTGGCTGGAAAATGCCAAGAGCTGTTGGACTTTATTTTCTGTCAGAGTGCTTAGGATTCTGCCTTAATCATATTAATCATGCATCCTAGACAAACTCACTGGATTGTAGAGAGTGAGAATGGGTGGGTGGGATTAAAACATTAGGCATTTGGCAAATTTTATCTCCTCCAATCTCTTTGTGTGTGCATCTATGTTGGGAAGAAGGATGGATATTAAAGTTGGGAGCAGTCCTATAGCTTCTAGAAGGACCACAGGATTTTGTGGCTTCCCAGATCCGGGATCAGAGGCAGCATTCCAGCCTCAGAGCTGGGAACAGGAGCTCCCTTCTCCCTTCCCTTGGCAGACAGTGCAGAAAGAACCAAGCCAGCTCCTCCCAGAGGCTGGGAAAGCAGCCCCAGAGGGTGAGAGAGGAGATGGGAGGAGCCAGGATAGGAACTATCCTGAAGCCTCTCCAGTGCCCGTCACTTCCCTCTGAGATGCTCCTGCTAGATGGGTGGAAACGCGAAAAAATGGAAAGGGGGAAGGGGAAGATGAGCTCTGCTGCTCCTTCTTTTCAGCATCGGATGCCCATACATCTTTGAGCTCAGGGTCTTACAGGCATTGTGAAAGGACAGTGCTATTTTCTAAAATGGTATGGTTGGCTTGCTAACATGGTCTTGTTTCCAAAATCAAGGGAGTTCAGGCAGTTAGAAGAGGATGGGCTCAATCTACAGTGGGAAGAAAAACTGAGAACAGGGTTGTGTCTCCAGCAATGGTCATGTGCCACTGCCTTCCCCGGTGCAATGCTGGCAGGCAAAGCCAGGTTGCTGTGGCTTCTTCTTTAGTGGGTGACATTTCAAGAAGGTGGAACGCAAGACTCTTCTCCTCTATCTGATCCACACAACAATCCTGCAGGTCACATCAGGCTGAAGATGATGAATGGCTCCAAGGCACCTGGTAAGCTTGATGGAGGAGCAGGGATCTGAGCCACTGCCTCCTCACTTGTTGAGGCCAGAGCCAGCAATATGGCACACACGCTCCCCTAAGCTTGCTTGCACAGGAAAACGAAATGCTGGCTGGGAGTGCAGCCACCCACTGTCTTCTTTTCCCCCAGGATGTCTCTGGCCCCTGACATAACAGGATCCAGGGGCATTATGGGGAAAGGAAGGTGGCAAGGCAGTTGCTGCCTCAGTCTGCGCTGCGATTTGCCATATGCCTGCCATGAAAGAGGAGAGGAGAGGAGAGGAGAGGAGAGGAGAGGAGAGGAGAGGAGAGGAGAGGAGAGGTCTTTTTTACCTGATCATGAATCAGCCTGCCAGGGCAGAGGAAAACACTGCTTCCTCCAGTGCAGAAAAAGGTGCCATCCCCAACACCTGGCTACCGCCTCCCAGCATCTGCTACCAGAGGCCACTCATGGTAGGGACAAGGGAGGCTGATGACTTCTATTAAAGTGGGGCTCCTGTCTCTTACAGCTTTTCTTGTAAGCTGTATAGGAGCTATCGACGGTGCTGAACCCTACCCAATAGGTTTTCTACCATGGATCGCTCCCATGGAGCTCAGAACAGCCTGCAATGGCACCCCAGTGATACAGGCGTCACCAGCCTCCCCACGGTAGTGTCAGCCCACCATTCTGGGTGCTCACACAACGCTTGCCGATCATCTTCCACTGCTACATCACATCAGTATATCATATCACTGGCACTGCTGCTGCCTACAAATTATTTGCACACCTGCAGCTTTGAAAACCTACTGAAGACCTCAGATGCATTTCAATTATATAGAAACTCCTCAATTAGCTTCCAAGTCTAAGGTGCAAATTACAAGAGAAGGAAAAGAAGGTGGGAAGGTTTCAGATGTCAGCAAGAAACCACCACATGGGCGCAAATCACATATCTGAACATCCCCATGGGGCTGGATAGCCATTAATCCACAGTTTCCATCTATGCCCGGAATGGCGTGGTGGCGCATTTCTAGGTGCGTGCGCATCTTTTGCTAGAGCAGAGCACTCATCAACAGGCGGCTGGCTGGCTGTGCTTCGCCACCTGTGATGTAGCCAAAGCTTCGGAGGAGTAGGTGAGTCATAGGCTGAGATCATATGGCTGAGAGTTAGATCACCCTGAACATATGCGTGGGAGGCAAAACTGAGCAAAAACAGGGGGTGGGTGGGGGGGAAGGAAAGAAATCAATAGCAGGGGTTTGCCATAAATTATCCTGCGTGGAGCTAATCTTATCACTGTTTTACAAAGGCCACGTTTACTCAAAAGCTCGAGTAGGGCAAATGCATGAATTCAGGTGTTCCTCTAGACAGAGGATTTTTAAGATCCAAATGTCCACCAGTGACCCCAACTCCTGGGGTTATCGGTGGTTTCTCTCAGTTGGAAGAGGAATGGAGAAAATGGCAAGAGCTGACTTTTAAAGACAGCAAGGTAGGGAGAAACCAGAGGGCTGGGGCAGCAGCTTGTGAATCACCAGCACAGAGGGGATGCATCACAAAAAGGAGGACAAAAGCACTGTGCGCAACTTCATATGCTAATAGGTGCATCTGTGCACATTTAGAAATAATGTCTGAGGTTGAAATAGAGAGACAGCACATCTCATCGTAACTGTGATGCTTGTGTGCTTGCCTGTTCAGTCTGATTCCCAGACGGGCAACCGTTCTTATCAGGGTGGTATCAAAAGCAGGCACGGTTAGATATGGGTCAAAGGCCCTACTACCCCTGGGGTTGCTCCGCTTCTTCACCACTGCAACCCACCACTTTCTCTCTGGCTCAGGTCGTGGTGCAAGGACAGCGCCGTGGATGCCACGGCTTCCTGGCTCACTGGCAATCTACAAGTGGGATTGTGGGAAGCAGCAGCTGGTGGCAAGGTCCTGAAAAACCTGGAGCCAGCACTGCAAAAGGCACTTTTGTATGAGGCTGGTGTTACATGAACTCCTGCCTACCAAGTGGGGAGGCTAACAATTGCCAGAATTGCTCTAAGTACCCCATATATGAGCTGGTCCGAGATTTGGAACATGTAAGTATCAAATATCCAGTATCAGACACTCTTGCTCTGTTTTCTTCTTGATTTCATTTCTCATGCTATTCAGTCTTTTCTTTACAGAAATCCCAGTACCCTGCACCTAAGTAAAATAAAATGATGGAATAAATTGCTCTACCCTGTGAATTCTTTTTAAAATATTGCATCTGCCCAAGAAGGACTCTGAAGAAATGCTGCAGTCAGAACCTCAGGTGACAACTTAAAAGAATTGTGTGGTTGTATATAAATATATTTAACTTTTTGCACTTGTTTGAACAATGGCATAAGGCAATGAAGTAAATCAGCACAGAGATCAGAATAAAACAACCATGCTGTTAATTATACCACAATGCCAAACATGGAGGCTCTCACATATAATTAGCAGTTATTATGAATGCACAAATTTGACAAGCAAAGAACAGGGAGGTTCTTCTGCTTTTATTTTAGAAAGGGGAAAATATTGCTTTCAACTAGAACAAAAAATTTATCTTAGGAGGTGACACCTTATATGAAGATGGTAAATTATAAGCACATGTTAAATGATCCCTGTGTGCGAAAGCTATTATGTTTTCTACTCCAGTCTTCTTGAGGCAGCTGCCCTCAGATGTGTTGAATTAACTCCCAGCCAAAGGGCAAATGAGTGGATCATGGGAGTTGCATTCCAGAACATCTGGACAGCATCTGGAAAGAGGACTCAGAAGGCTAGTCCTCTCTACTCGATTATTCCTCTTGGGTGCCTTCACTGGCATTCTATTTCATCAGCTGCTACCTGACCCATTTCGCTACTGGAATGGCTGTAACTCTAAGCCTTCTAGTCCCACGTTTGTGCTATATTTGCCATGCATTATAAAGACGTATTCTGGAGTTTGAGATTCCTTGGTCATTCTTGCCACAATAAAAAAGCAAAGCAGAAAAATGGAACGCTTTTTTTCTCAGCCCACTGGTCTTAGCTATGCATTGACCTTGTTCATACAACAGAGCAAGCCACAGGACAGGTTGAGTGTGGTTGTGGTTGAAGCATGGGAGGTTGTGTTCTGTGAACCCAGTTGTGCTAACAAACCATAATTTCCTATCCATGAACAATCCACAGTTCACAACCTAAAAACAAACCATGAGTTCTAGTTGTGGGTTGTTTGAGGTTAACAAACCATGGCTTGATCACAGAGCTGGATTCATACAACACAACCACCCATGATTCAACAAGCAACCCGTGCTCAACCTGTACAGTGGCTTGTCATGTTGTGCAAATCCAGACAAGAAGAGACTAAACTGTAAAAGCCAAGGATCAAGCACAATTGTCAGGCCTGGTTCCCAGATCGATTACTAACAGGAAGCCAAGCCACATGAGTCATCAGAAGTAATTACAAAGGAAGTAAATGGAACAGCTGCAACCCACTCTGTTCATCCATTGCCTCAATAAGATCTGGAGCTACAAGGGTCTGCAAACAGACACCTGTGCTCTCCGTGGTTTCTCTCCCCCCCCCCCCCCCCCCGCCTGGATATTATAATTAAACATTTGCACCCAGTGCAGCGGATCAGAATGAGAGAAGGGGAAGCTAAAAATATCTCTCACCACCTGAATCATAGATGAGTTG